CGAGGGATTAGTTTTATTGAGGGGGCACAGTGCGTGCAGGACTTTGATTCAGGGGTTGGGGGCCACGTCCTGCAGGAGCACTCCCACCACGACACCCACATCCTGAGCTGCCTGCTCCCCACAGCCGGAGGGGCCTCCTCCCCGGCCCCTCTGGTGCCTGGGGGCCACGCCCACCCAAGGAGCTCAGTCCCCTCCTGGTCACTGGGCTAGGGACTGGGAACTGCCCTCCACCCCAGGGGCGGGGTGGGGGGGAGGGGAGGGGTCAGTTACCCACGAACCTGGGAGGTGCTCCAGGAAAACCGCCTGCTGCACGGTGGACGGGCTGCAGGCACCAGGAGCCACAGCCTCGACCCCCTGAACGCCATGCTGCCCAGGGCCTCCGGGCCTGGGGGCCAGGTGCTGCCTTGCGATGCCTTGTCTGTGATCCGGATTTCCCACAGCAAGTCTTCCCTGTCGCTAGGAGGGGGGAGGGGGAAGGGGAGGGCAGAGGGAGGGAGGAAGATTTGTCTGTTTTAATAGCGTTAACTATATACATGTCCTGGGGAGCAGGACTCTAGAATTGTTGCGTTTTGCAAAACCAGAATCTGTACCCATGGACAGCCCCCTTCCCCCTCCTGCCAGCCGCTGGCCACCACCGGTCTACCTTCTGTTTCTGAGTCTGAGTATTTTGGATTCAACATATATGTAGAATTATACAGAATTTTTGTGACTGGTTTCTTTGATGGGACATAATGTCCTCAAGGTTCAGCCATACCGTAGCACGTAACAGGATTCCTTTTTAGGGCTGAGTAATATTCCATTTTATGTGCGTGTTCCATTTTTCTTGATCTGTGCACCTGTTGACAGACATTTAGGTTGCTTGCCTGGGGGCACAAATATCTCTTCCAGATCCCGTTTTTAATTATTCTGGACAGATGCTCAGAAGCGGGATTGCTGGGTCACGCGGTAATTCCAATGCTTTTTTTTGGCAACCTCCATACCGTTTTCCACAGTGGCTACACCACTTTGCATTCCCAGTAGCAGTGCACGAGGGTCCAGTCTCTCCGCATGCTCCCGGCGCTCGTTTTCTGTTTTGTTTTTATAACCATCCTGACAAGTGCGATGATTTGCATCCCCCCTACGATCAGTGATGCTGAGCACCTTTCACCTTCTGCGGGTCACTTGGGTATCTTCAGAGAAATGTCTGTTCAAGTCCTTTGCCTGTTTTTATTTTTTTTTCCTTTGCCTGTTTTTAAATTGAATTTCTGTCCTGGTTGAGTTGTGTGTTCTTTAGATTGAGGATATTAACCTCTTCTCAGACACGTGGTTGGCACATACTTTCTCCCATTCCTAGGCCGCCTTTTCATTCTGTCGCCGTTTCCTTTGCTGTGCGGAAAATGTTTGTGTTGTCTGTGCTTTTGGTGTCATAGGAAAGTCTTTTAAACTGATTTTGTCAAGTGACTTTGGTCTGGCACCCGGTTGGGGAAGGCCAACCGCGGAAGGAACAGGCACATTCCTTTCTGCACTTCTCAGAATCCTCGGGCCTCGGACCCTGGGCCAGGGCTCCACAAGGGCTGGACCCGAGACCATGGGCTGTTGCGGAGAGGGGGAAGTAGGGACGCGAATAGGTCAGCTTCTTTGTCACCAAACGGGCTTTCTTCCCACCCTTCTGCTCCGGCGGCCAAGCCCCTTTCTGGGGACCGAGGACAAGCTCCCTTGACAGCGTAGGGAAGGAGCCCTGCGTGGCCGCCCCGGGTGGGGGTCCTTGCGGGGTCGCACGGCGGGGCGGGGGAGACCCGGCCAGAGTCCCGCGAGGTCGCCGGGAAGACTCGGCTTGTCTGCCTCCGGGCTCGGGCTGCAGAGACCTGCCTCGGGCGCTGGGCCCCGGGTCCTCGAGGCTGCAGAGCTTCTCCGGGCGCCGGGTCGCTCGGAGGCGGGTCCGGGGCAGGCGCAAGGCGGGCGGAGCGGGGCCTGGCGGCTCTTCTGGCTCCGAATGAATTGCTGCCATGCCCAGTTGGGTGAGGATGAGCCAGTGATTATATTTAAATTTGCTATAATTGATTTGAGGAAGAGCTACTGTGACAAGAACGAATTGATCATTAAATTTATTAGCGAGATAAATTCCGCCATGATTAAGCCGCTGGCTGGAGCTGCTGGGGCCGCGCGCGGTGTGGCCTTCCGGGCCGCCAAGTCCCCGCGCCGAGCCCGGCCTGGCTCCCTGCAGGCCATTTTTTGGGC